ATATTTGATTTGCTTTTTTGTAAGAGTATCACGTCATAATAATTCCAGTTGTCGAGTAGCGCTTGTGTACAGCTTTCTTTTGTTTTGTGATTTTGATGTTTTTGAGCTGTGACTTTCAGGTTAGACTTCATGAGAAGCGTATCAGCACATGGAATTCACTGCTGCAGGACATGGTGATGGCTACAAGTATAGATAGCTTCAAGAGGGGATTGGATAAACATATGGAGCAGAGGTCCATAACTGGCTATTAGCCACACTGAACTGCAGGCTGTGGAAGGTCGGTAGTTCAGCAGTTTGAGACCCGAGTGTGCCACATGACAGGGTGAGCTCTTGTCTCTAGTTCCAGCTCCTGCCAACCTAGCAGTTCGAAAGCAAGAAATTGCAAGTAGATAAACAGGTACCACTTCGGTGGGAAGGGAACAGCGTTCCGTGCGCCTTGGTGTTTAGTCATGCCGGCCACATGACCATGGAAATGTCTTCGGACAGCGCTGGCTCTTCGGCTTTGAAACGGAGATGAGCACCGCAACCCTAGAGTCGGATTCGACTAGCTTTCGAGCAAGGGAACCTTTACCTTTACCTATAGAGGGAACACTCTGTTGTAAACATTAGATTCCATGTCAAAAATGAAGTCAAATGAGGAGGAAGTTCTTGTATTTTATTGTAATGAAATATGGAAAACAGTTAGGCCCATGGACCCATCTGAATTGATTGCTTTCTTCTCAGCATAATCAGGAAACATGCCTCAATTAATAGGAAAACAATTAGACCAAATAGTTAACCAAAAATTGACAACTTTCTTCTTTTTCTTCTTCATCTTCTTCTTGAGCATATTCTGAACATATTCAGGAAATACATGATATTTTATACATGGACTGACATCATCATATCATCATCATGGGAATAATATTCAAAAGGCATAATTGGTTACAAAAACTTAAACAACATTTACATAAAAATCTCCTTATTGGTCAAATGTAAGAAAGGTGTGTCTATGCAATGGCGTCACATTTTTACTTGACATGACCTAAGGCATATCGGCTAAAGCTTGTTCTTCCCCAAACAAAAGTATTCATTACTGATACGAGACTAAAATCCTATCTGACCCAGACATTGAAAGGTTTGCCCTAAGAACTACAGAATCATGAACTTTGTACCTATTATGTTGCTAACAATATCAGACCTACAAGAGGAAAGCCTTCTATATAACAGGCCTTTCTAACATCCTAATAAAATATTACTTAAAGAATAAATCTATAAAAACCAGAGAAATATGAATATGAACAATCAAGAAGGAAAAACCTATATATGAAAATCTTTATATTCCCATTCATACTACACTCTGTCTGGGGGAGTGATGCTTGTATTCTTGGTGCTTGGTGTTTTGTATTTTTGGTGTTGGGGGGGGGGGGGGTAACAGTAGGAGGGCTTCTGGAGTTCTGGCCCCACTGGTGGACTTCATGATGGTCTCTGAGTTTTTGGCCACTGTGTGACACAAAGTGTTGGACTGGATGGGCCATATGGGACTTTTTTTTGTCATGGAAAAAAAATCTCAGGCCAGCTTCAAAGTACAGAGAATCCTCTGTGATTTATCTATTTTTTTGGAATGCCTGTAGGAACCATTGAGTTTTACTGGAATGTGACAGTTAATAGACGGAAGAGCCGGGAGACATCTTCGCTTATCAAATGCAGTGACTCGGACTCCCCCAACAGGGAAATTATGCACAGGTGTAAACGTTGTTAGTGCCCCAAAGAAAACCGAAAGGAGTAATTCAGTATCACTGATTTCTTAGGAAGAATCCCAGCCCTCCAGTGACAGCCTCTGACAGCGAGCGAGCAAAATAAATCACTGTGCTGTCATCGAGGAAACACACACACCCATCCCCTTTCAACAGACACCTGCCCTAACTGTGGAACTGAGGAAAGGACTCGAATAGAACAGAACAGGAGTCGGAAGGGGCCATACAGACCATTTCGTCCAACCCCCTGCCCAGCGCAGGACCAGCCTAAAGCATCTCTGACAAATATTCGTTCAGCCACTTCTTCTTTTTTTCCAAAAACAATTTATTAGGATATAATAAACGTTCAAACATACAACAAAGTTTATGTCATACATCCTTTTTCCTCTTACCCCCACCCTTTCATGGCTTCCCACAGTGCTCCAACCTCCTGCCCGTCTCTTAGATCTTTTACATATCTTCCTTCTTTTTTAAATATTCAAACTCTACAGGTAACACATCTTTCAATTGTTGTTCTTATACACTTATCCATTTCTATTATTCTTTATATTTCAATAATTTTCAAAACAAAGCAGATTGTCCTTTCCCTCCCAATGCTTTTCTATATAGTCTCTAAAATCTTTCCAATCTTCGAAAAATTCTTCTGCTTCCAAATGTTTAAGTTTCCTCGTCATTTTGTCCATTTCGACCATAAAAAGTAACTTCTTTATCCAATCTCCAATTTCAGGTGTTTTATCTTGTTTCCAACATTGAGCATATGTCATTCTAGCTGTTGTAATCATATACCACATCAATGTCTGGAGGCCCAGGTGGCAGCCTGGAGGCCCAGGTGGCAGCCACTGCCAAGTCAGCCTTTTACCATCTGCGGCTGGTGCGGCAGTTGGTCCCTTTCCTCGACCGCAGTGACTTGGCCACAGTGATCCATGCGACAGTCACCTCAAGGCTAGACTACTGTAACGCTCTCTACATGGGGCTGCCTTTGTCGCAAATCCGGAAGCTGCAGCTAGTGCAGAATGCTGCGGCCAGGCTGTTGATGGGTCTTCCTAGAAGGGACCATATCCAGCCTGTGCTGAAAGCGCTGCACTGGCTGCCAATAGCGTACCGGATTCGTTTCAAAGTGCTGGTTCTTACCTTTAAAGCCCTACATGGTCTGGGTCCAGCTTACCTGAGGGACCGCCTTTCCTCATATGTTCCCCCGTGAGCACTTCGGTCCGGGACGCAACATCTCCTGGCAATGCCAGGCCCCAAAGAGGCCAGGCTGGCCGCTACCAGGGCCAGGGCTTTCTCGGTGGCGGCTCCTACCTGGTGGAACGAGCTCCCAGAGGAGATCCGGCCCCTGTGGGACCTTGTACAGTTCCACAGGGCCTGTAAGATGGAGCTCTTCCACCAGGCATATGAGTAGGAGCTGCCACTACCATCACTATTGCTCCATCTTAACCTGGCCCTGGATGAAGGAACATCAGCGCTTCCCGGAGCAGATGATGCTGAACAGTTAAAATACGCCATCTGTGAAATGTCATCTTGACCATCTAGAGCACTTTAGTTACTTAATAACTTGTTAATAATATTTTTGTATTGTATGGATTTTAAATGGTTTTAAATATGTTTTTATATTGGCGTATGCCCCTATGTAAGCCGCCCTGAGCCCGCATTGCGGGGAGGGCGGGGTATAAATTGAATAAAATAAATAAATAAATGTCCTTTTTGCCCAGCCTCTTCTTGAAAGCTGCCAGTGAAGGGGAGCTCGCCACCTCCCTGGGCAGCCGATTCCACCTTTGAACCACTCTGACCATGAAAAAGTGTTTCCTGTTGTGAATATGTTTAAGCAGGGGCTACACTGAGCCGAAATGCAAACCTTGAACTGTAACATTTGCATGCTTCACATTTTGAAAATGTGAGCACTTTCTCTCAAAATTTCAATCCCAACATACTAGCAAATCAGAGTCCGGGTCTTTTCAGTTTAGAAGAGAGACGAGTAAAGGGGGACATGGTAGAGGTTTATAAAATTATGCAGGGGGGGGGAGAGAGTGGACAGAGACATTTTTCTCCCTCTCCCAAAACACTAGAACTCGAGGGCATCCCATGAGGTTGATGGGCAGTAGGTTCAGGACAGACAAAAGGAAAGACTACTTTATACAGAGAGTGATTAAAATGTGGAGGATATCGTGACGGCCACAGGAATAAATAGCTTGAAAAGGGGATTAGATAGATTCATGGAGGATAAGTCTATCAATGGCTACTAGCCATGGTGGCTGAGGGGAAACTCCATGTCTCTGAAACTAGTGCCAGAAGGCAACATCAGGGGAAGGCCTCGGCCTCTATGCCCTGTTGTCAGCCCTCCAGAGGAACTGGCTGGCCACTGTGTGAGACAGGATGCTGGACTAGATGGACCACTGGTTTGATCCAGCAGGGCTCTTCTGATGTTCTTATAGTAGGTTTATTTGTTATTAAAACAGCAGGCTCGTATTACATATAAATATTGTTTCCTGCATAATTTGATATTTGTTTCCTTTCTTAACAATAGGCTCCTTCAACCAGAGGTCTTGAGCCAATAATTTTATATTTGAATTTCCAGAACTATTTTTTTGGGGGGAGGATTGACTCTCTGAAACAAAGGTAAAGGTAAAGGTTTCCCTTGCTTGAAAGCCAGTCGAATCTGACTCTAGGGATATGGTGCTCATCTCCGTTTCCAAGCCAAAGAGCCAGCGCTGTTCGAAGACGTTTCCGTGATCATGTGGCCGGCATCACTATGTGAAATTACAAGGGAGTCGTTACCGGCTAAATATCAGGAGAAACATTTCCGTGGTCATGTGGCCGGCATGACTAGACGCTGAGGCTCACGGAATGCTGTTACCTTCCCACCGAAGCGGTACCTATTTATCTACTTGCAATTTCTTGCTTTCGAAATGCTAGGTGGGCAGGAGCTGGGACCAGAAACGGGAGCTCACTCCGTCACGCGGCACTCGGGTCTCGAACTGCCGAACTACTGACCTTCCGGTCTGCAGTTCAGCATCATAACCACTTGAGCCACCGCAGCCCTGAAACACCGCAGCCTCTGAAACAAAACTACCCCCCAAATTAGAGATTATTACAAAAGCTGAATATTCACTCTGAAAGTGTCGTTCTAAAATTCAGAACCCAAACCTATATTTCCACAGAACAAAGTTTGGACTCCAGCGGCACCTGTTTAAGACCAACAAAGTTTTATTCGAGGTATAAGCTTCAGAGTAACACGGCTATCCACTTGAATCCATATTTCCGCACACAATCCTGAAATCTGAGATTCCAAAGAAGACTTTTTGGCCCAAGAAAGCTGATTGCATTGTGAAGACGGGAGATATGCAGTCCGAAAAGAGGAATTAGCATTCCATAAAAACTCAAAAAATTTATTTGAAATTACATAACGTTTAACATGATCAGCTTGGTCAGTTCTCAGGAAACCACCTGAATGTCCCAATGACCTGTGTCTTCGAAAAGAGCCACCGCTTTCTCGCTTCTGTCACTGATTTTCCTGTCCACTTCCACTGGGATGTCATGATAAACCGCCTTCAAGGGAAAACGGGGGAGAAGGACACCGTTTGGACTTCCTCTTTTTTCTTGTCACTCTCTTGACTGGGATAAGTTCTTCTATCGGCTTCGTATCCGGGTCTTCCAGTAAATTGGACAGTAAGTTAAACAGCAGGGCTATCCACGCAAGTCCGAAGATAATCCAGATGGCTACCAGAATTCGGTAATAGGGAAAATATCTCTTGCTAGGCTGTCTCCCTGGAGGGACGGAGAAAAGATGTCATAAGAACATAAGAACATAAGAGATGCCACTGTTGGATCAGGCCAGTGGCCCATCCAGTCCAACACTCTGTGTCACACAGTGGCCAGAAATACCAGGTGCCGTCAGGAGGTCCACCAGTGGGGCCAGGACACTAGAAGCTCTCCCACTGTTGCTCCCCCCAAAGCACCAAGAATACAGAGCATCCCTTGCCCCAGACTGAGAGTTCCTATTTATACCTCGTGGCTAATCGCCACTGATGGACCTCTGCTCCATATGCTTATCTAATTCCCTCTTGAAGCCTTCCATGCTTGTAGCCGCCACCACTTCCTGTGGCAGTGAATTCCAAGTGTTAATCACTCTTTGGGTGAAGAAGTATCACTCTTTGGGTGCGTTCAGACGGGGGCTTTACATCGGTTAGGGTTCCGGTTGCAACCGGTGTACTCACCGGCGTTCACACGACGAACATCTGCCTCCTGTCCCTAACCGGTGTAAAGCCCTTTAAATCGTTGTACTCTGCCACTAGGTCCCAAGTGGTGGTATCCAGAGTACAACGGTTGTAAACGGTGCACCCCGGCGTCTGAATGCTCTCCAACGTTGCAGAGACACTTCCGTCGGAAGCCTGAGGCTTCTGGCTTTCCCCCGCCATTTTTTTTTAAGTAAGCGATATGCGCTCGGGCGAAGCTTCGCCCCAAGCGTTTGTTAAGAAAAGGAAAAAAAGCCCTTAGTTTAACTTCCCGGAGGAGTCCGGGACTACAGGGAGGCCAGGTTGGCTTTAAACTTTAAAGGTAAGTCCTTACCTTTAAAGTATTAAATGTAATGGGGAAGGTTGAGCATGCGCAAAAATCGCCATTCTGTGAATGGCTGCCTATGCGCATGCTCAAACTGTGCTTTGCAAAACAAAAACAAAAAACGCCGATGCCCGCAGCGTGTGAGCGGGCGACCACCGGAGGGATCTGGAAGATGGAGGTAAGTGTGATCGCGTTTCTGCCGGCATAAACTGCACCGGTTGGAACCGGTGCAGTTTATGCCGGCAGAAACGCCCCATCTGAACGCACCCTTTGGGTGAAGAAGTAAGTAAGATAGAAGGTGGCGAATTTGGAAAAGGTAAGATAGAAGATGTCACGTGGTAAGATAGAAGGGGGCGAATTTGGAAAAGGGCCAGTTCAGTTTACCTGAACATCCCTGCTTAATTAGGCAGAAATGTGTTAGCAGATGTCGTTAGCGCTGGTGTTAGAGTTGCCAACCTCCAGGTGGTAGCTGGAGATGCCCTGGGATTACAACTGATTTCTCACCTGGAGAAAATGGCCACTTTAGAAGGTGGACTCCAGGGCATTGTGCCCCGTTGAAGCCCCGCCCCTCCCCAAACTCCACCCTCTTCATGCTCCACCCACAAAGTCTCCAGGCATTTCCCAACCCAGACCTGGCAACCCCAGTTGGTATAGTTAGAATGGCTCTGTGCTAGGAAGTCCCCAATTTCAAATGGAGCCTCAGTCAGTAGCCCCAGTCAAAGAGCCAGTGTGGTGTAGCAGTTAAGAGTAATCAGGGGTCATTTCCTGCAGGAGCGCACAGGAGCGGTGCTCCGGCAGTAAAGGGCACAGGGGGTGGGCACATGCAACAAGCCCCCCCCCCTGCTCCCACCCGCCCTCAATCAGAGCAAGAAGCAGCCCGGTAAGCTGCAGAGCCCCCCCCCCCCGGCCCAAAAGAGTCCAGTGGCACCTTTAAGACCAAGTTTTATTCTGGTACAAGCTCTCCCTCCTCTGCAAGGACAGATCTGCACGTTCCTCCCAACCCCCAATAGCAGCAATCCAAAACAATCCAGTGGAGCCTGAGCAGTGGGTGTTGCCTTCTGACACACTTCTGGTGATGTCAGGGGGTGTGGCATATGCAAATGAGTTATGCTAATGAGTTATGCTAATGAGCTCCTGCACCTCTTTTTCTACGAAATGACCCCTGAAATAGAGCAAAACTAGATGTTAGGTGTGTGGGGGGGTGTACCAAGATCACTTGGTTTGCCCCCCCCCAAAAAAAAAAATGGCATAGGCCTGATCAGGATTTGACCCTTGTGGCAATTTTTTTTAAATGACCTAAAATCTTCCACAAAATGGTCTCAGAGCCATAACATCTAGTTTGCCCCTTGAAGTAGGACATTGGAGACCCAAGCTCGAATCCCTGCTTGTCATGAAGATTACTCAGCGACTTTGGGCCACTCATTCTCCCTCAGCCAAATTTACCTCATGGGGTGTTTGTGAGGGGAAAAAATGGAGGTATGAGGTGAACCATGTATGCTGCCCCGGGCTCCGTGGAGGAAGGGTGGGACAAAAAGGCACAAAACAAGGGAACTTATTGGTTCAGGGATCCCCATTGTGGGGCCCATGGGTATGTACACTGCATTGGTCAGGCCGCACCTGGAGTCTTCTGTGCTGTTCTGGAGGCCTCACTTCCAAAAGGATGTGGACAGAATGGAGCGGGTGCAGAGGAGAGCCACGAGGATGATCAGGGGCCTGGAGACCAAGCCCTACGAGGAAAGGCTGAGGGACTTGGGAATGTCCAGTCTGGAGAAGAGGAGGTTGTGGGGGGAAAGAATTGCTCTCTTGAAGTATGTGAAGGGCTGTCACTTAGAGGAGGGCAGGGAGCTGTTCCTGTTGGCAGCAGAGGACAGGACTCACAAGAATGGGATTAAATTGAAGGTGGGAAGGATATTAGGAAAAAACTTTTTGACAGCCAGAGTTGTGCAACAGTGGAATGGGCTGCCTAGGGAGGTGGCGAGCTCCCCCTCACTGGCAGTCTTTAAGCAAACCCTTGTCAGGGATGCTCCAGGCTGATCCTGCATTGAGCAGGGAGTTGGGCTAGATGGCCTCTAGGGCCCCTTCCACTCCTGTGGTTCTATGTGGTGCCCAAATCCAGATTTCTTAAGGGCATTAGAAGATGGAAGCCACAGAGGGTGGACATCACCCTGCCGTAAAATACCATAACGTTCTTTCCGGAAACTGTTAAAGGAAGCCTTACCTATTATGTAGTCTCCAAAACCGATGGTGCTGAGGGTAATAAACGTAAAATAGATTGCTTCGCCGTAGGTCCAGTCCTCCATCACTTGGAACACAACTGACGGCACACAAATGAAAACCAGGATTCCCATCACCAGGAAGAACAGAAGGGTCAAGAACCTCGTCGTTTTCTGGAAGGCAAGACAGAAATGGCAAATCCGACGCCTCCGAACCGCCCGAGTCATCACCTTGGCCTTACCCCTGGTCAGCAGCCATAAATGTTTCCAGAACAATCCTTACCCTTCTATATCTGTATATTCTGGACACTGATCTTGAGTGGGGAACACGTGAAGTTGCCTTCTACTGGATTAGGCCCTGGGTCCATCAAGGTCAGTATTGTCTACTCAGACTGGCTGTAGCTCTCCAGGGTTTTTGGCAGAGAGGTCTTTCACATCACCTACCACCTTGTCCTTTTAGTCGGAGATGTCGGGAATTGAACCTAGTGTGCAATACCAAGCAGGTGCTCTACCCACTGAGCCATTGCCCCTCCCTTTGACAGAAACCCCAACACCTTACTAGGGCTCAAGAGTGCCACCTAGAGCATATGGGATCTTAGATACCTGGGGTTTACAACAGAATGACCTGTCCATTTCCATTCCACATTGGACCATCCTGCCATAGAAGAAGAAAAGGAGGAGGAGATTGGATTTATACCCCGCCCTTCACTACCCCAAGGTGTCTCAGAGCGGCTTACCATCTCCTTTCCCTTCCCCTCCCCCCAACAGACACCCTGTGAGGAAGAAGAAGAAGAAGAGATTGGATTTATACCCCGCCCTTCACTACCCCAAGGTGTCTCAGAGCGGCTTACCATCTCCTTTCCCTTCCCCTCCCCCCAACAGACACCCTGTGAGGAAGAAGAAGAAGAAGAGATTGGATTTATACCCCGCCCTTCACTACCCCAAGGTGTCTCAGAGCGGCTTACCATCTCCTTTCCCTTCCCCTCCCCCCAACAGACACCCTGTGAGGAAGAAGAAGAAGAAGAGATTGGATTTATACCCCGCCCTTCACTACCCCAAGGTGTCTCAGAGCGGCTTACCATCTCCTTTCCCTTCCCCTCCCCCCAACAGACACCCTGTGAGGAAGAAGAAGAAGAAGAGATTGGATTTATACCCCGCCCTTCACTACCCCAAGGTGTCTCAGAGCGGCTTACCATCTCCTTTCCCTTCCCCTCCCCCCAACAGACACCCTGTGAGGAAGAAGAAGAAGAAGAGATTGGATTTATACCCCGCCCTTCACTACCCCAAGGTGTCTCAGAGCGGCTTACCATCTCCTTTCCCTTCCCCTCCCCACAACAGGCACCCTGTGAGGTGGGGGGGGCTGAGAGAGCTCTTGACAGAAACGGCTCTTTTTCAAGGACAGTTCTTATCAGAACTATGGCTTGCCCAAGGTCATCCAGCCAGGTGCAAGTGGAGGAGTGGGGAATCAAACCCGGTGTAGTGGTTAAGTCCACGCACTTAACCACTACACCAAACTGGCTCTCGTTAATCCCTTTTGGACAAAGGACGATCTGGTTTGGGCTAGTCCACCTATCTGTTGTGGAAGTTCAGATCCATTGCCAGATGCTCGATGGAGGTGGGACTATATTTTAAGGAGCTCGATTGGTAACAATAGCCTCTGACATCAGAGATGGGGACTTGCCTAGCACTGGCTAAATCATCTTGTCACTCTTAGAGAGGAGGCTGGCTTAGGTCCAGTTCTATTGACCATAAATATCCGGATATTTAGGATTTTCCCTTGTGTTCAGTTTTTCAGTCTTCAGCCAAAACTGGGGTCTGCCGAGGTTGAGTGGGGGGGGGGGTTAAGAAATCCTCCAGCATCTTTGTTACTGCAAGATACTCTGCACATGCTTTGAGGAGCCTGCTACAGACAACTTAAATGTACTTAGTGGAATTAGTCCAACTGTATTGCTTTTTATTTTTGAAATCTTGTGTGGGATTTTCCCCTGTGTTTTTAATCTCACCCCTTTTGATTCCAACTACCCTTTTCCTTTTTTCATTCTCTTTTATAATAAACCTTTACTATAAAGACTTCTCTGTTTTTGCTTAGTACAATCTACTTCTCTGGGATATTTCTCTGATTTCCCACAAGCAGCTGCGCCACCCTCGCGCTTCCCTTTCCCCCGATTGCTTTTGTCAATTTCCCACTACTTGCTGTGTGGCCACATTTTGACCCGCAGCATCCCCCAATTTCCCCCACGTCTTCGCGATCCTTGTTTTTTGAGATCACGAACATGCAGGGGAAATCAGGGGATGCTGTGGGCCGTGCAGCAAGTAGTGGGAAATTGACAAAAGCAATCGGGGGAAAGAGAAGCACGAGGGCGGCGCAGCTGCTTGTGGGAAATTGGTCTGACTCTCTTCCCTACCTGCTAACTGCACAGGCACTGCCTAATTAGTTATAAGAAATTTTCTAGTGTTTCTACCTTGTCACTTTGTAATTGCTCTAGTCTGCACTAGAAGGATACCTTCTCAGCAGGTCAGTCTAGATGTTCTCAGGAGATCCCTGAGTGGCGGCGGCTGGTTACCAGTGCACTTTGCAGGGAACCTTGGCCTAAAGTAGTTTCCCAGCAAGGAAAGACACCCTTCCTTCCTTCCTTCCTTCCTTCCTTCCTTCCTTCCTTCCTTCCTTCCTTCCTTCCTTCCTTCCTTCCTTCCTTCCTCCCTCCCTCCCTCCCTCCCTCCC